GTAGTCTTGGTGCATATAAGTAGAAGTATGAAGTAGAGTATATATTTTATAATAATTGTGTAATATAGTTAATGAGTGGGTACGAGTTAAATTGTTGAGACATTCCGTATACGTAACACATTGTCATTGATAATTTCTGAGGGCTATATCYTTCAGATATTTAGTAATAAAATGTAATACATAGTATATCAGTAGTCCAGTAGTGGCATATTATTATAACAGTTTCTGATTTAAAAATGTCACATATTTCTAATTTAATTACAAAGTTACGGCCTATATAATATACTACTATTCTTGAAATAAATCTAAATTCTATGTACCGACACACAAAACATCATAAAAGGGCATAATCACTATTACATCACATGCTAAGAGCTCAAAACGATTTTAATTCYTAGGGTCACATTTATATACTTAAATATTTTATTAATTAAACATACTTTTAAATGAGCTATATATTTCAACTTATCACATATTTTCACTATGTTTGTATATTTTATTTTATTTTTGTATTATTCAGCATTCACTAATCATGTTAAACTGCCTTTTGACGTTATAAAATACAATAAAAATGCTGTATCGACAATGTTCGAATACCAAGTAATTATATTTTCTTTTATAATAGTGCGTGGGCTACGGGCAAAGTGAAATCTCCGCCAAAACCAACAGAAACTGCAGTGCAGCACTTAGTCCGCGGGCAATGGACAAACTATACTTTATAGTCTTTATACTATTGTTGKTCATTGAATCCGGATGATTTGAAATAAAGCAATGCTTAGACATTATTTTTTACTGCTGTACGCCTATTGTACGTATATAATGTGGTCTGGTGACTGGTCGTATTAATGCGGTCCATTAATAAAATATATAAATAAAATTTTATGTTATTATCCACTGCAATGGTGCACGCCACGGGATATAYAGCGGTGTTACTAATGTTACTAACCACTATCGTCTATCCATCGTATATTACACTGCTTACACCGTACACAGCCTTTTAAAATTGTGTCTTTAGAATCGAATCATTTATCAGGCGTTATAGAGATGCAGCCATTATAATAATAGTTTGTTATATAAATATTATGTGTGCATCATTTTCAACCCCTTTAAAATTGTTTATTCAAGTATTAATTGCGTGGTATAGGCTGTAAGACAGAGATGGCGAACCTAGCTATAAGCCTATAACACACTCAACTGTTCAAAAATATATCATTCGTCATAAAAGTTTGTAATCTGCAAAAACCACTAATTAGCACGTAACGTAAGTTAAAATGTATGAATTGAAAAGTAACGCCATTACAGAAATAAAATATCACGTAGGTATAGATGGAAGTGCTTGACTTATTTTTTATCATTCAATCCATCATGGATACGGGAATTTTTAAATTTAAAAAGGTCATCAAATTAGTTGACAAGCAGGGAAAATAAAATCCGATCAACATTTTTAATTGACACATGGGTACAAAAACATTTGCTAACCCTGTGTTTGGGTCATGCTTTCAAAATACGGTTGTATTTGTATGTATATCACATGATGGGGTGTAGGTAGGAAATATTTTCGGAGGGGGTTTTTGTCTAAATCTAAATTAATATGATAAAATTAAGAATTATTTATTTGTATGTATTGAATAATATTATAATAATTATAAGTATTTATAATATAAATACAATATTTTGTCCATATAATTTACAAATTTAAAAATATAACAAAAAATTATAAGATAAAACTTTTTTTTCTTAGTTAGGTTAGATTGTTTTATTTAATTTCGGGGGGTGTTTGAACACCCACCCCCCCTACCTACGCCCATGGTATATCATATGCTGTATACGAGAAATAATAAGTATGAGTGATAACTAACATAATTTAAGTATAATAATACTTATAATAAATATTAAATACCTGCTAATATAGTAATAAATTAATTAATCAACGGCGTTATCATCATATACTCAGCGTATATTATATTATTAATTAATGTTATTTACGTGCTTATKTATATCGTTTTAGTTTCCTAAAAAGGAGGCATCCCCAGATGCATGCAAAGGGTGTAAAGTTCTAGTCTTCTATAGCTAGGGTTACCATACGTCCGGATTTCGTCCGGACAGTCCGGATTTCAAACACATGTCAGGATTTGAAAAATGTCCGGATTTTACAAAGGTAATCGTTTAACGTGGTTAAATTGATATAAAAAGTTATATCAGGTGGCAGATTTTTGGGTTCACTCTTCTCCACAATTCTATCAATGTGGATCAATTATTTGATGAACGGTCGTCTCTAGTCCAAGTACTAAGACATCTGAAACCTAACTGGGCTTCACAACCAAAAGAATTCACACCAAAAATGCATGAAAAATGGACGAAAATATTTGATGCATTTTTTAGAAGCAACGTTTCCTTTTTGAATATTTTTAAAATAATAGAATTTGCCATGTGTCTGCCTGGCACTTCAGCTCCCGCCGAGCGTATTTTTTCAATGATGGGGTCTATTTGGAGTGCTGAAAGAGAAAGATTGTCAATAACAGTTCTAAAAGAGCTGCTTAATATTAAAGCAAATTCTGATTTGACATGTTTACAATTTCATGATAAAATTAAAATTGACAAATGTTTTATGAAGAAAATGAACGCATCTGAAAAATATGAAAAGAAAAAAGACGATGAAGAATATTGCGAATCAGGACCAAGCACGAACTAAATAATGAACTAATAAAAATTATTATGTAACACATTTTATAACATATTTAACCTAATTTATAGATCTAAATAAAATTGTATTAATGAAAGAACAATTTTTTTCACCCCCCTCCCCCACCCCCCCGAAACAGAACTGATGTCCGGATTTGGTCTAAAAACATTATGGTAACCCTATCTATAGCACTCCCATAAACATACTATATACTAACATATACTAGCATCGCTTCATGAATAATAACATGAAATTCGAATTTATTTTCTATAATGTGCGTGTACGACAGCGTAGTTATTATAATGCAGTTTATAGTACTTCCTTGTTTTTATCCATCACAGTATGTAAAGCCACGCCATGGTTAAATATTTTTTTAATAAAAAATGGAAAATTTCATCGATTCGTTATGGAAAACCCAGCACTTCCACTGTGTACCTATATTATGTGTTCATTCTTTATCTCGCTCTTTCCGCCTATAAAGTCATAAACAAAAACATACAGAATTTATAATGTACATGTTCTACGTGGATAAATAAATTGTTTTCGTCCATTCGTGTGGCCTCGTGTTGTTATCCCTATAATATAAATATTTTTTCTAATATTACCTATCATAATATTATTATGCATAGGTACCCCCTCCCCCTCTAGAGATTCAGTTGACAAACGATCAGGTAATCACCATAATAATACATACCTATATGTATTGTTTTAGGTACTTACGTGAATGGAAATTAAAATGAATAATGTGGGAAAAAATATTCTACCAAGCTTTAATGTGTTAGCAAGTTAAAAAATTTACTAATAATTGCACCATCTGCCATCTGACCTCCATGAACTATCTTCATCATCACATTATAATAAATACAAAGTTTAAAAAAGAGATGGGTCATACAATCATACTACTTTATATTAATTAGTCATTTAGCTAGATAATGATAGTATCCCTATTTTTTTTTTTTTTTACTTATTTAAATTTTGATGGAAAATACCGGAAAGTTTTTATGATGGGTAAAAATTAGTAATTACTAATAAAATCGAGTGCAAGAGTAGGTATAATAAGAATTTGATAATATTATGAAACATCATTTTAGCAAAAATATTGCTGCTCTATTATGGTACTCTAATGCATATCTAAGTATATTTATATATTTATATTTTTAACACAAAATGTATATTAAAAAAAAAACGTATACGACATGTACCTAATTTATGTAGATAGCTGATAGACCTTTAGAGTAGGATTTTGCGATTAATCATTTGTGTATAATATTTCAGCACCAAAATATTAAGTTGATTCTTGATTCATAAGTAAGTTAAATACTATACTTTGATTGATAATTATTAGTTTAAACTTTTTAACACAAGTTTAAAATTTATGAACATGTGTCCTACGTTTTCAATATCAATTTATATAATATATAAAATATATTAAAAAAATCTTATCATATTTTTATTTCTATGATAATATGAGTTATGATAATAAAATGATAACTTAAATATTATTCTAATATTCTAAATTCCTTACAATAATGTATTAATTTATTATTGAGTGTGAACTGCAAAGTATCTATACTTAATATTAGTATATTAGTATATTACTTATTGCTTTAGTGCCATAGACTAAATAGTTAGTGTCGTGTGACTGGTCAAAGTAATAAATTAATACAGAATTAAATCATGTCATCCCAAGTGGAAAAAACAAAAAAACCATTCGATAAAAAAAAATGGAGAACAAAAAAATACAGCAATAAACAAAAATGTAAGCATAATATCTAAAATATAAACTATTCAAAGTGTAATATCTTATTTTTAATTGTATACAAAGTATGTTCATATGACAAAAGTGTATTGCAGTATAATGTAGAAGAAAAGTAACTTAATATTTATTTATAATTAAATACAAGTAAACAATAGATGCCAAAATTTGATCCATGAATACTAGATGTTATTCTTTTCAACATCCCCAATGTTAACGTTATTCACATACCTAATTTGTTATTTTGTTTAAAACTATTATTATATTCAGCATTTCAGCATTATAAATTMCTCCCATTGGTTAACAAAAACTACCATTACAATTTATATTTCTTTATTGCTATTTCAAATAAATTACATTTGAATAACAATCATCTCAGAAATAGTTGAACTATAATGAAATAAAGACCTATTGTACTATTATATTATTCCTAAAATAGTGTTTTGTATTTTGCTCAAATTAATATCACATATATTTTAGTTCAAGATTGGGATGAGCGTCGCAAAAAAGCAGTAATTCGTGATTACTACAAAGAGYTAAACAAATCTGGTAATGAGCGGCCTTTGGATACATTAAATTATGAAGCTAACAATCTAACTAAACAACAAAAAAGGTAAAAACAAAAAAAAAYTTWAATATTCAAGTGTCAAAAAAATAAGCATACACTATAATAYAATTACTAGTCTCATTCTTATTAACTTTTGAAGTTCTTTTGGCTTTGATGGTATAAAAGGTTTTTGTTTGCTTGTGTCTAAATTTGTATTTAATAGTTTTCTGCTTATGAGTATTCTGTCATACCGTACTCATATATCTAGATTATTGATTAATGGTCAGCTATATATATGTATTGGCTTCCAAATGCTCATACAATGCGTAAACAATTTTAGATATTTATGAACATAATGTTTTGTTCTCAGGCAAAATCCTCATAAAGAAGCACAAGAACGTTACAATCAAATTCAAGAGGAAAAGAAAGCTAGGCGCTTAGAAGCATCTAAAAAAAAAGAAGAAATTCAAAAAGCTTTAGAAGAATATAAACAAAAGAAAAGGCTTAAAAATAAAAAACTTGGGAAAAAAACAAAAAAAGGTCAACCAGTTATGAAAGAAAGATTGGAACTTTTATTAGAAAAAATACAAGCTAGCGTTAATTCATAATTTTCTACTTTTATTTATAATTTTAAATAAAAATACTTTGATAACATATTTTATGAAATGCTGTATTTTGTCAACTTTGATATTGTTCAAGACTAATAAACTTTATATTTATGATTATTATACTATTGTAAAAATTATTTAATTCTTTTTWAAATAAGTACAAAGAGATATTAGGATTTTTTTTAACTGCATAAATTCATCTAATATTCCCATCAATTTTTAAATAAAATAGTTGTCCAGTGATTAAATGTACTAATTTCTTATTAAATGTTCTATAAACTTGCAATGCTGAATAATTTCCAATTCAAGTTTTTTTTTTTAAGTGCAGTCATTTCATTTTTAATATTTTAGGGTTTAAGAATATGTTCTTAAAAGTTGTAAGGACTTTAAGCAAATTTAATATTATCATGGAGATCTGTCATAATCAAAAAATAAATTGTCATGATTACGATATTGTATTAAAATACTCTGTCTACATATATACAGTTTATCTAAAAAGAAAGATAAGAAAGTAAGCGAATTATATAAATTACRACATTAAATATCAAAACAAATTAACTCGCTTATTTTTAAATAACTTTCAAATTTTATATAACAGTTGCAAGGTTAAAATAATTCATTTTAAATCTTTGATTCTACTTTATTTTGACACAAACTTTACATTTGTTAATAGTTGTATTTACACAATTATAATATTATGAATATAAATTGTTACCTATACTCCATTCATGTTAAAAAGAAATCTCGACGGCGATAAGATAACACCCGTCTATTGTCCTTACCAAGTCAACCATCTATATGCCTGCTATGCATTAAAATCACAATAAGTATCTGAGATTTAGGGGAGAAAAGCTGAATAATTTTAATGTAGGGATGAAAATGTTTTGAAGTATTCTAATGTAACATAAAGTCTTAAGGTTAGTTGAAGGGGGCAATAGTCCTCCCAGTGACCATGTTATTTGCGTTGTGYCCCTGACAGTGTGCATAATTCAGTCGCCGAGATAACTTCTAAACCTGCGTGGAGTATGTAATTAAATATTTTTAATTGACATATGTTTGTTACTTAATAATTGCTTAATGAGGTGAAATCTTAATACTAATCATCGAATTCCATATCTTAAAAATATTATTTATAAATTCAATAAATGTATTTTATTGAATCATATTTAAAGATGTGATATTTAGAAAATATTTATTTTAAACACATTAAATTGATATATCTACACTAAGATATTAAATTTTTACTTAATATAAAAATTATATTAGAAAAAACAAAATTAAAAGTTGAAACATAACTTTATCTAAGAAAATATAACAATATACAATGTAGAGATGAAAGTTACCAAACGGTCGGTATTCAATATGCACAAAAAGTGCAAACATTGAGAATATAATTCTTGTATAACTTATTTCCTGTACAATTAGATTGATTAAAATTATTAGCATTAAATAACTGTATTTATGATGTCTACAATCATAAATATTATACTAGTGAACAATATTAATTAATATAAACAAAAAACCATATTAACCCAATAAACATGTTAAATTTTTCTTATCCTGACATCAATAATCAGTCTTTTTTTAAATATTATATAGCTATAGCCTGTGGTCCTTTTTTTGGTTAAGTTCGAAAATTATTCTAATAAAATAAAATGAATCCTCGAAACAAAAACAAAAAAAATTCCAACATTCATAAATTGTAACTTAACCGTAAAATATTGTATATTAAATCAAATTGTGTTCATAAATTGTMATTTTTTTTATTATTATTATATTTTCTGATCAATATAAACTTTAATACCTTCTCAAAAATGTTATACAAAGTGTTTACACATAAAATTTTCAGGAGTTAATTCAAGCATGAAAAAATAAATGAATGTTATTGCTAACATAATAAACACCACAACACCTGGTTGTAAGACAAAATTATTTCTAAACAATAAAATGAACTAATATGAAATTTAAACATCAAGTAAATACAAAAATAACAGTAGGTAATTTTATTTTATACAGTCTTTATTATGATAAATAAAATTATTTAACGTAAAGACGAATTATAATCAAAATATCATAAAAACAGTTTGTGGATTGTGATCCCTAAAAAAAAAAAGTACATTATATGAAAAAATTAGCCTACAATAATTATGCAGTTTTTACTATGTGTAATGAGTTAACCCTCTGGTACATGGTGACAAAACTCAATGGTTTTACCGATTTATATAAAATGTAGGTATTCTTTTTAAAATATAAAATACTTGTTAAACACAAATTCTAACGTCTCTTAGGATAATGAAGGTTATCTCTTCTCCTACGGTCAGTCTTTTGAGACCGTTCTATTTCTGCAAGATGTTTACGCCGTTGGTCTTCTTTTTCTGCAATCTGTTCAATAGAAAGTGGAGACCAATAAAGGGTTGGAGTAGTTTTGGTTTTTCGAAACAACTCRTCTAAACTTTTGGTAGGAATACGATCTGGTGTTTTGGATTTTGACTTCTTACGTTTATCTAGTAGATCTTTTTCGTCCTTCTTTATTTTTTTATCTTTTGTAGCATGAAGATCGTCAGATATTTTTCTTTTTATAGGTTTCTCATCTTTTTCATCTTCACCATTCATATCTTCCAACTTACCTCTATCCCATTCACGTAAAATAAAATGATTTTCTACTTGAGTTCTAAGTTTTTCTACTTTAGACTCTTTTTGTTTATCTAATCGGTCTGGATGAGTTCCACTCAGGGCTTTATTTAATTCTTCTTTACTTGTAAAAACGACTCTCAAAAATTTTGGATTGGTTGAAGGCCATTGGGAATCATTGAGTGCATATACAGTTTCAATAGCTTGATCTTCATTTTCATACTCAACAATACATTGAGATTTAATTGTATCTATCCAAAATCCATTAGGTACAATCTTTCCCGTTCTTTGTAACAAATCTCTTAGTTGCCCAACTGTGAATGGCCTTACAAGGTTTGTAATACGAATTACACTGGTAGTTGTGATGCGCTTTACAGAAGATTTTTTCCTTGTCTCCAATTCATTTATTTCTTCTGCCAAAGACTTATCCGATTTATTATCATAATTATCTATGAAAGGTTTCTCTTCTTCTTCTGGTGCTTCATAATCAACTGCTTCGTGATCAATTAACATAGTATCATTCATTTCCATAGGTTCTTCAACATCTTGTTCATCGTCTGAATCTGTTCTTTGTATTTCTCCTTCTTCTGATCGATACTCACCATTATCAGCAATAGAATCCCCATTAGATTCTATTATAGTACCTAAAGTAAAAGGACTTATCGTTATAGGTGTTCTTGTTTTACAAGAGCCCCATTTACGTTTAGGGTGTGAAGACAGTAGTTTTGGCGTTTCATTTAATTCTTTTTCATCATCAACTTGTTTTATATTATTTATATCTGATGATAGAACTTTATAAGATTCTTCAATGGGTGTAGTTACTTGTCTGACTACTTGTTTAGATTCATCTTCATTCACTGGTTTAAGTTCTATTTCATTGTCTGATTCAGTTTCATTCACATTGACTGAATTAGATTCTTCTTCATAAACTTGTTTAGGTTCTTCTCCGCCAACTAGTTTAGTTTCTTCTTCAGTTGGTTTAGGATCTTCATCGTCAACTAAATCTGGTGATTCAACAGTTAATTGTACAACATCTTCCATTTGTTCTGAATCATTAATATAATCAGGTTTATTGAACTCTTCTTGTATTGGATTATTATCTATTTTATTTATGTCAACATTTGATGCAGTTTCTAAGACTTCAGGTTCATTTACTACACCTACAATAGATTCTGGTGCAATATCTTGAATATCTTCACTTAAAGCTATTGGAATATCAATAACTTCTCCAGTAGTTACACAACTTTCTTTTAAAACAGGTTCTGATACATCACATTCATCAATGGATGGACGGACTGTAGAGTCTATAAAATCTATTGATAAATTGGTAGGATTGGTTGATTCTACTATAACAGCAGCAGGTTCTAAAACGTCTTCATGAATTTTTTTTTCTTCAACTTTAATTTCACTGACTACTGCATCAATAAGTTGCTCATCAGTAGAGATATTTTCTACAATAGGTTCATCAGGAGTTATGAATTCAGATGATACTTCAACATTGTCTATTTGGTCATCACCAATATTTTCTTGATTGCATGATAGTTCATTGGAAGGGGCAWCAACTTGCACTGGAAATGAAAATAATACAGTTTAGAATTATTATCTTTTTAAAAACTAAGAAATCTAAATAAAATTAGGTTGTTAGTTATTAATGCATAAATATGTTAACATTAAGAATATTATATAGACACCTAATATTATGTAAGGTTCAATTCAATTTTTTGATTTAACAATACTGTTAAATTCATAAAATATTAAGTATCTAAATGTATTATTATATGAAAAAAAAAAACAATTAAAATGTTAAATATGTACTATCATCAATTTTTAATGCATAATAATAAGTAGATGCAATTTATTCAAAATGTGGTAGAAATTAAGGCAAATTGTTTACAAGCATAACAAAAATTAAAAAAATTGTAGATACATAATTAATAACTATAGAACAAATCTTGATTCTTATTATAAAACATAAAACATATAAATATATGTTCAACGCTATTTTCATTTTATTTTACAGTAGGTAAATTGAAAATAAAAATGTTTTTTAAACAATAAATTTACACTTCAGATAGTGAATTTTTATCAATATATACAGTAGTTACTCGATAATTAGAAAAACTCCATAAATCCAACTTAATGTTTAGCCCCCTGCGAAAACCACTATAATTAGAAAAAAAGACATGTATTCCAGATCCCTCGATAATTTGAAATGTCTGTAGGTGGGACACACTCTAAAATTCAAATTTTTTTCCAGAACCTCTATAATTCGAATTTCCTTAAACGCGATTATATATATGTTCATATGTTTAAAGATTATGTACAATCTATTTGACGTATTCGAGGTGATACTAATAATGATGGCGATTAAAATATAATATTCACCTACCTAATCTGGACTTTAAGTGTACCATTTTACTAAAATAAACCTCTGCAATGGGTTGTTGAAATGTAATAAAATATAATCAGTCGGAATATGGTCATGGGTTCCGTAAAGTACAAGTGTTTGTTGATCGCCCATAAAAAAAGTGGTCGTGGCAGTTAAAGCAGGTGAAAAATAACAAAACATTTTTCACATCTCTTTAATTTGAATTAATTTTTTTTCCCTTAATTATTTAAACACACGGTAAATCRAAAACTTTTATAAATCAAATTTTTAGCTCAGTCCCCTAAATTTCGAATTATCAAGTGACTACTTAATACATACTTTATTTTTTCATATTGAACATATTATGTACCTAAGAACATTATTATATTTTTTTATACTAACATTGATAAAACAAAATAATCATGTATTAACATAGGTATTAGGCGGCATATTTAATATACTTAAATTCATAATTTACTATTTCGTTATTTCAAAATTATATATAAACCTACTACTCCATACTTAATATTATGATAACTAACACTATAAAATATGAAAATAATTTAATAAAGTTAATTAGTGCAATATAAAATATAAGCACAAACTCAATTTTTCTAACACTATTTAAGGGACTATTTATCAATAMTTGGTTGAACACATTAATTAACTTCTAAAGTCAAAGAGTTAAAATTGTTTATAATTATTACAATTGGTACTATATTGAATACTTAAGTGTGATATTAAAAACATTATTGTTGATTATTTGACAAGAAAAATATTAACATTTTTTTTATTTTTATTATTATTATATTTTTTTATGTTATTGACTACAACAGACTAACCAGGTATCTAAAATATACTTATTAGAAACCCAAGAAAATTTCTAAATTAGGTTATTTTTGTTAGTGTTAATGTAAATATCTTTAACATTACCTTGTTCACTAGAATCAACTATGTTTTGTTCACTTTCTTCAACAGCAACAGTGCTACAAAACTGTTCTAAATAATTTGTAACGCTACCATCCAACATAGACGGATTTGTTGAAGTGCCTGCAGCTTCTTTTTCTTTTCTTTCGGCTGAATATTTAGCTTCCGCAGCCTGCTCTCTTAGTAAATCTTTAGGCGAACGCCTCAAACTAATTTTTAACTTTTGAATGTCGCCATCTGATCCATTGGAACACTCAACCTTCCACATACCAGTGGTATTCTCTTCACTGCAATCATTACTTTCTGGCTTAGGTAGTTTTATTGTTAATGCAACTTTCCTTTCGCCCTCTTCAACTCTGCTAGAAGCTCGGGTTTTGCCAACTTTAGGTGGTGGTGGCACATCTTCTGATGATGTTTCAGATGTAGACGAATGGCGCCTAGTACGACGCCTTGACGTACGTTCACGTTTCGGCTTACGACCAGTTCTTTTGCTCATTTTATGATTTTATTATTATATATTTTTCGCAAGGTTCACTATCATATACCCACGAGCACAGGGGACATTATAAATATTCACAACATATATTTTCAAATTAAAAAATCACTGGCAGTACTTACTACAGCATAGCGATAAATTCACCTACTTTATTTTACAGTGCAAAACTTACAAAAAGGTTTTTCTACACGTCGATCCATTTATACGAAGACTTAACGTAATTTTTGTTTTGGAAATTAAAAAAACGAATCAATAAGCACCAAATTTTTGTTGTACTCGAAACGAAACGGCGGCCATTTTAATCGTTTATCAACACAAACACATTTCATCGACATCAACTTTCTCCATTTTTTTTTTTTTTTTTATTATTCGCACTTAAAAATACCTAAATAATTTTTTCACACATAATTTATCGAGCACAAGTTTTTAAAAATTAAATTAAATTAAATTTATCGAAATATTCAAAATTAGTTAAATAACATTTTTTATTAAAATTTAAAAAGTTAATCACAATAGTTTTAAGGTGTAAGCAGTAAGTTGGCAAACTTGTCAAAATATCATTTGATAACTGTAATCTACTATAGTCCATTTCATTGGTCAATATTTTTCGACTTTTTACTATAAACAATTTATAAATATTATAATACTGTATCAGAATTAGATAAATAGATAATATCTAATAGATATTTATTTTATTTTATACAAATTTCTTGATAATTTAAATTAGTATAGAATAATTATTAAGTTCGTACAATATAATTTAATTACTTCAGTCTAGTCACCAATTATGTACTTTAATACACAATAGTAAAAATGTAAAATTGTCATGATTAGTACTTACCTGTTATATACATTTTTATAATGTGGTTTGAATGTATAAAATTAAAATTTCGAACTGGTAAATTTGCAGATCCTTTTAAATGTTTAAAATTTGACTAAATGAGATAACAAAGTTTTTATTTTAAACAAGTATGTAAACTAATTTAAATTATTTCCCTTTTTATATTTTATATTAAAATAAGTTTTAACAATATTTATCTTTAATCAATCATGTGTGTGTATAGGTGCCTTAATTATACTAAAATACATATGTCAATTGTCACATCCATGATAGTGTAATCTATTTTTAATTTAATAATTCACCGAYATTCAAAGTTGTTAATACATTTGTTATTCAATTATTTTAATTAGTCTATATTATTGTCCACTACTATACTATGTACAAATATTCAACACATCATGTCTTCTGTAGCAGTGTTTACTTCTGGAAATAAGGTTTATTTTTTAATTGTTTCACCCCCTTTGTATACCTAATGCTAAGAATAATTGAAAAATATATTTCAATTGAATAAATTATTATTTAATAGATAATCCATTTGATTTAAATAAATCTTATATAAATCATAATATTTAATCCATTGTTCAAAAGAAAAACCTGTTATAAAATGTGAAATTGACATAATGATTTATAAATTTACTTGYTTATTATAGTTTAAATTAGTTTACTCAATTTATGCATGTTTTTATATTTAAATACATTTTTTCCTCAATTATATTTAAATAGATCAATGTATTCCATTTTATATTTAATTTTGCATTTAAATCATATGTAATGTAATGTTTATTGTAATTTACTATTAACTATGAAGACTGATTTTATTTTATTTTATTTATTGTATTCCATACAAGTGTTTTAGATTCAATAAGCTTAAAATTTAAATTAAGGTTAAGTTTCCATCTCACAGAATCAATTTCCTTATTTTCAGAAGTGTGCTGGTTCATCAAAATCTATCAGTTGGTATCAAATAGATTGTGACTTGTGATCACATGAACCATGAAATTTAAAAAGCATATAGAAACATTTTTACATACAATGAAGGAAAAAGCACAAACCAAACTTTCCAAATCAAATAATTCACGAGCTGAAATATATAACCGACTTGCAGCTTATCGTCCAGAATACGATAAAGTTGTTTCATGGTATGAACGGGTAACTGGTTTAAGTGAAGTTCGAGTAGCCCAAGATAGAGTGTTGGAGTCTCAAAAACAATTTATGAATGCCCAAGATAAAAGAAGAGATGTTTCAGTGGAACTCAGAACAATTCAAAACAAACTAAAAGACATCCGAAATGAACTTTTAAATACTTCTAGATCAGAAGATAGGTATATTGAATTAGTAACACAGGAACATGCTTTATTAAAACAAGAAAATTATATCATCGATCGGGTAAACTATAGTGAAAAAGAGGAAAGAGATAGCTTCATATTACTCTCTACCACCTTGAAAGATAGTCATGATCGAGAGAGAATTCAAGCTGAGAGAACTAAATATGTATCTATTGTTGGCTCAATTCTGGGTACTATTATTGGTATAATTGGAAGTACTGTAATCAATGCATGGAAAATGAATGAATTCAAAAGAATGGTGTTGGATGCCAAATTGGATTCATCAAATTCAATCAAAAGTGATCAGATAAAACATTTATTGTTACAAGTTCAAAAACAAAATAAAATGTTGAAAAATGCACAATTCAAGTTAAATTCAGATAAACTGACAAGTATCGTAGAGCCAAACTGGAAATACACTGACCGTGATGTTATTATATTAACAACTATAAATTGTACTTTAGTAGCTCTATCAGCATATTTAGTGTCAAAGTTATTTTAATCSGTGATGTCTATTCAAATTTTGTTTTTATTATTGTTGTTGGTTTTTATTTTTTATCAAACAATGTTCTCCCGTTAAGCTAGTTAATATATATTATATTATTATTTATAAGTATTTATATGTGATAAATGATAATAAAATAATTTGATTATTATATTAATTTGCTCAAATAGTKGTCTTGGGGAGACTTCTTAAGTTTGAGTTACCCAAAGTTTYTACCATAACCTCCAATTAAAATTTATTATAAAGTACTATGCATTTCAAAAAAAAAATTTTCATATTTTCACTTTTATTAGAGCTACTTCTCCAAGCAAACTTATCTACTATACGTCTATACTTTAATTATACTCTACACTTTAATTTATAATTTATACAAATCAATATTCCATGTGGATTAAACTATATAAGATATAACCTTATACCTAGTTGCTGGTTATTTGCAAACTTTAAATAAATTTAGACCTTTAATTCGGTATTAATAATCGGTTAGTTATAACTTTGAACTTGGTAACTTACAATTCTAAATGWATACAATTTWTAAATCTATTACCTTATTATTTGGTTCTTAWWTACAAAAAAATTATTTTTTGCATTATATATTTTGAACCTAACCTATTATCTTATTAAAACATTATATCAATAAGAATAACAAATTTAATTTTAATTAGAAAATTAAAATAAATTATCTTCAAAAAAATGTTTTCTATAAAGATATATTATGATATGAAAAAAATTTTAAATTGGCAATGCTTAGCATAACAACTTAAAAATAAAGAAAACCTTATTATCATCTATTAATATGCACAAGTCAATGCCAATTGTATAATTAAAAAGTCATATTTACTATTACAGATAAGATATASTGATGTATAACTCAACTTCAGTAGTATATTAATTTTTTTATTAGAATCATTTTTATCATTTGCATACCTAAATATAAATATCGCAACAATTCAAGGGTGGAAGCAGTGCCGTAGTGATTCATTCTCATTCTTGCATTTTTTTAAATATTTAATTTAAGGGACAACATTTCAAAGTATTAATGTATGAAAATTAATAAAATATTTTTTTCAATGTCACACAGATTTTGTGTAGATCAACTATATGAAGCAGTAAGATACTAAGATATCTTTAATCTTCAACTTTGAAAGTGATTAATGGTTTATTGGTTTGTTAGTAAAAACTAGATCAGTGGTTCCCGACCTTTTTTATTCTGTATCGCTCTCCCATTGTACATTTTCAAAATGTTTACACTCTGCCACTAAATTAGTTTTAACGATCTTTTTCTTTTTTTTTGCTATAATGAAACAAAATTAGTATGTAGGTAGTATACTACTAATTATATTATTTTTTTTCCATTAAATAAAAAATAAATCAAGTAAATGATAATAGTTAATACTATTATTTTTATATTTTTGAATAAGAACATTTTTATATTAAACATTCTAASGSCCCKWATTACAATTTACAATAGTTGAATTCCGATTAAACCACGGAATACGGCCGGTAAAATCAGTGRTTCAAGCATAACCGACCGAGGTTTAAACTAAGATTGTAAAATTTATTTAATGAGATTTAAATTTTTTATTAGATAAATTGTTATCGCTGTCGACGTGTCAAGTCATTTTTTATATTTATTATCATGCAATCTGTCTTTCAAGCTATAATAGTAGACAGGCCCATGTGCATGAGGGATCACATTTTTTTTTATTCTTATATCATTAATATAAATACTAATATTTATTTATTTTAATCATTTTT